TATCATGCATCGTTAAATAATCAACGTTTGTCAATGTGATACAATTTGATTAGCTTAGATTTATAACTTCTTTTGTACCCTAACACAAATTTCTTATTATTTCACAACTTAGCCCAATAATTTCCATTTTTTAAGAGAAAATGATTTTTAATACTCAACCCAAATCAATCAGAACAAAAAAGCAAATAAAGTTTGGATACAATCAAATCAAACGAAGTTTCTAGCTTACGAACAAAAAAAAATTAACCAAACAGTGGGTTACAAAATTCTCTTAACGAGAAATGTAGCAAACAGATCCACTAGTAGCTTGAGATATGACTTTCTGAATATCATTGATAATAATTTCTTTTTTTTAGGTTATCAAATAATCATTTATTTGTTAATGTAAATGTCAATGCTAATTATTTATTTTTTTTTTGAGTCTTTTTTTTTTTGGGAGGAGGGGCGGGGAATATTAAAGTTTATTTTGATTGAGAGATTCATACTCTAATTTGAATCATAATTCATAATTTGTTATATTTTTTCTCATAAAAAATATACATAAATTAAAAATAATTATAATCTTATAATTTTAATTCATGAATCAAATGTTTTTTTAAATTATTTTAATGGAAAAGTCACTCTAGAGTCTAGACTAACCCTACCTAAATTTTCTGTTTTCAAAGCTATCAACGTCGACCGTCGATATTGCCACGTCAAAATACTCTTTGGAAAAGCAAGCTGTTTGATGTGGTCAGAACAGACGGTCCCACAACCCACCTCTCCTGGAAACACGGCTTCTTTTGTGGGACCCATTTTACAGCATTAGCTCAATTAATTCCAATTAATTATTCTTTGACAATAAACTAATTAAATTAATTAAAGTGCCAAGTTATTCTTAAAAAAGTTAGAAACGTGGATGAATCCAGATAACTAGTCAATGGACCAAATATTTGTTTTTGCAGCTATGGGTCATAGACCACCGACTTTTCTAATTTCACAGTGTTTCTTCTTTTTATCATAATTCTTAAGTGTGGATTTTTCAATTTTTTTTATAGGTGTGTTTTTTTTCAATTTAGTGGACGAACTGTGGAAGAATTATGCTCATTTATTGTTCCACTCAATTGGAAAAACATTAATACAAAATTGAAAAAATGACAGTTTATCAGCCATTCGATAAACAATTGCACGTGTGAAGAGAAATAATTCGTTTTTTTTTGCCCTTTTTAAACACTATTTATAGATAAACAGCATTGATTCTTGAATGCTTATAAAAAATAAAAAATAAAAGGTGGAAGATTCATTATAGAAAGAGGAATTGGCTTGTCATTTATTCAAAAAGGAAAAAAAAAAGAAATCATAAAGGCTGTCCATTTAAAAATGTTTTTTTTTTAGCTGAAAGGTCGTCCACTTGAAAAAAAGGTAATTGATGTGTATCGTTAATTTTATCAATTTGAGTTTTTAATTTTAATTTTGTTACAGTTAAAATCTCTTATAAAAAGTCATATTTAATTTTTTCTGCTATAATAAAAAGCTCTTATATAAAATTACATCTCAACTCGAATTAAAAATTCAAATCTGTAATTTAAGAATGAATTACAAAAACACTATAATAGCAAAAAAAAAAAAAAGAGGTACGTACAAAAACACTGGACTGGGAGATTTATAAAAACTGGAATTATTCTCTAGTAGGAAACACATAATAGAAATTATTCTCTAGCAGCTAGTTCTATGTGATTTTTCTTATAAGGATTCATTATCAAATTTTATAAGAAAAAATTATAAAACTTACAAAATTCAAATTCATACATTCTAAAATGTATTTTTTTTTTCCAATCTATAATCAACACAAACTTCTTTTTAAGAATGAAAAATGCTTAGGACACCATAACCTCTAATAGAATGTAGGGCTCACCTGGTGGAACTAACTCTTTATTAATGAATTGTCTTGTTTATTTCGTCGATTCGAGTTTTAAATTTTAATTGAGATGTGACTTTATGTGAGAATTTTTAATTGTAACAGAAAAAGTTAAATTTGATTTTTTGTAAAAACTTTTAACTATAATAAAACTGAAATTGAAAACTCAAATTGGTGAAATGAATGAGGCCACCTCCTACTGGTGCCTAATTGCATTGCACTATATATTTGTATTATAATCATGAGAAGTTCTAAAAACTTTAGTACAATAGATGAGAGCTGACCGTTATAAAACCAATCACTTATCAATGATGCACTCATCAGACTTGCATAATAGTTGAAAAATTAGTGAAAGATATAAGCATGAATTACATTAGAATCAAATTCGGTTGGGCAAAATCCCAAAAATAACAAAATAAAAGGTGTGAACAGAATCAATCAAGTTAACAAAACGAGTCAAAGTGTTAGAAAGTTTCAAAAAGTTGGATGCGCATTAACATTTGGACAATATGCAAGGAGGAGTTGAGCGAAAAAAAAAAAAGAAGCACACACGCGACACAAGGCAGAGCTGTCAAAGTCATAAATGCAGCCGCCGACAAAATCTTCCACGTCATCAATAGTTTTTGGGCAAGATAGAAGGTCTGAAATAAATAAACAAATATTTTTTTTATATGACAAGAAAAACAAAAAAAAAAAAAGATTTTAATTTTTTTTAGTAGAAAAAGATTTTAATATTGATAGTGTTTTTAGAGAATATACAAATTATTCAAAACTTAACAACCATAAATAAAAATTGCACAATATGGAACTTTTTTTTTTAAGAATCTTACTTTGATTTTATTTTTAACCTATTTAAAAATTGAGATTTTCTTTGATACGTTAATATATCAATAGATTAAGTTTTTATCTGTTAAATCGGCATAAAATTACATAAAAATTAAAAAATACATAAATTTAACAGTGAAAAAAAAATCTAATCCATTAATATATCATACGTATTAATAAATATTCCTTAAAAATTTCTCGTTTTTGAATGCTACTGATTTTTTTCCCCTAAAACTTAGAAAAAAAAATAGCATAATGGTATGATAATGATTAATAGCATAATGGAGGAGGAGCGACCGTACAGTATATCCATGTGAGTTTGTGCGATCGGGCAGCCCCTAAAAAGGCTCCCCACGGCCCGCCCTCAATAATGGACTCATAGTGGCCCTCTATGTTTCTTTTTCGCATTTACTCAATTGCCCTCCATTTATATTTTATTTTTATTTTTTCATGGAAAAAATCTACTTTTATTTTAAGCTTCATTATTCCATACAACAATAGAGAACAAAATTTCATGATTATAGATATGCAAGGCATTCAAATAATTTTATAAAACCAAATTGTGTAAAGTGGACATGGCATGTATTCACGATTTACAGTACCTTTCTCTCTCCATCTTTTTTTTTTTTTTAGTCAAAATGATAATATATTATTTCTTGAGACAACAATATGGAAAAATGAGGATTAAATGTAATTTGCGTGTACAATAATTGGTTTAAACTTGAAACCAAGTATAGCAATCAGTTGTAGGGTTGAGGTGTGTAATAGATTGAAACCTTTCTATAACCTTTTGTATTTATAGCATTCCTTCAGAGTTCTAACAAAATAAGAAACTATTGCACATAATCAGTCCAAATATTCTGCTTGCAATGAATGGGAATTTTTAATTTTTTTGTTCTTTTTTATTTTTTATCCTAATTTGTATAAGGACGAATGTTTTGCATCATTTAGGCCCTACTGATGATTCACCACTAGGGCTACTATATACGGTATTTGGAAAATTTTGAACTAACTTGTTGATTTGATAAAAGTTGGGCACTCCCTAGTAAATAGCAATTCGCTTTAAGATTTGTGGTATTGATTTCTATTTATGAGCTTTTGAAAAGGTAGGAAGTGTTCTCTCATTACCATATCATCATGGACTTCAATTAATAATCACTAAAGTTGGCATAAGAATTGCTTAAAGTGAACTAGAATACTTAATGCCAACTTTAAATATTCAATTTTTATCCGTCTAAAGTACATCTTTTCTAAGTCAACACGTGTGTTAGTTACTTCTAAACCATAGCCTACAATTCCAAGCAATAAAAAGAAAATGATAACAATTGGGTTATTTCCACCAAAAGGACAATATTCGCTCGTCTTACATATCTATATAGTTTTGACCTATTTATTAACAAATTATAGTATTACACATAAGGTTATAAAAGATATAAAATGGTGAAAAGCCATACATATTTGAGAAAAAAAAAAGAGAAAAAACTATATCTAAAATAAAAAGCCGAATTGTGTTACACATTCCATACACTTATATTTACCATTTTATTCTTATAATAACCTTCACGTGACAACATGCCTGAAAATATATATTTCAAAAATATTGATAGTTAGACTTTTACATATTTTTAAATTTTATTATGGTTATAGAGTAATATTACATTCAGACATGTTATAAAAGTTCCCAATTTATATATAGTATAATTTTTTTTCTTACTCTTTCAATGTAATAAGAGATGTTGTAGCAATGATTTTTTTTGTTCTTGTCAATAATTTGGGAAAATGAAAGAATTAGCAAGCATAACCATAAAAGGATTAAGAATTTGAATAATTTTGTTTGAGATTTTGTTTTCCGCAAGGCATTCTTTATGTATATATGTGAAAGACATTGTGATTTTAATAATTATTTTAATATTTATCTATCGGTAGGTGTTATTATTTTAATGATAAGATATTGATTTAGATGTTGTAATAACTTAAATGGTTGATAAAAAAATTATGATAATTAATAAAGTTATATTAATGGCGCATCATTAAATTTCTATATATAATGTATAATGTAACCATTGAAAATAACATGCATTTCAATATTATAGGTAAAAAGCTCCAATTTTATCTATATGGATTGATTGTAACAATAAAGAAAAGGATTAAAAGTGTAAATTCGGTATAAAAGAAGGATTAAGAAAGAAAGTAACCATGGTTAAGGAATAATGAAAATCCCCGCTCAACTTAACCCAAGATGTCAAAGGAAAGAGGAGGAACTACTCCATTAGTCAGAGACATTCTAATACTGTGAGAAATAGAGAGAGAAAGTTCATACCAAAACACAGAGAGAGAAAGAGAGAAGGAGGAGAGAGAGAGAGAAAGAGAAGGGCATTGAGAAGGAGGAGAGAGGGAGAGAGAGAGGAGAGAGAGTTGGTATTGTAATTGTGTGTGTCTGGGGAGTGTAGGGGAAGATAGGGGGCAAAGTTTGAGACATTTTGGTCTATCATCGCTCTTCTTCTGCCTCTTTGTTCCCCTTTCCGGCCACCTTGCCGGCCACACTACCCTCCATTTCTTGCCGACTTCTCATCGGAGCTGATCTGACCTCACCGATAATCGAGGAAATTTCACTTCTTTTTTCATTTCATCAGCTCACAGAACTTCCATTGCCGTCGCCGAGATGAACCTCTGAGATTTTTCCTCCCATTTTATCTTTTTTCTTAAAAATAAAAATATATAAATTCGGTCGGAGTCGCCGGAGAGAGCGATGAAGGCGCCGGCCAACGGCGTCGGAGGAGGAGCTGCCTCCGCTGCAGTCGCCGCTCCTCCCAATCCATGCGATGGTGAGCTCTAATCTCCTTTTTTTTTTCTCTCTCTAGAAAATCTGATAAGAAAGCTTTGGAAGAGCCGGTGGATAGTGTAAAAACGTTTTTTTTTTGGATTTTGTCCTTATTGTCTTCTTCTTGTTCGTGCGGTTTTTTTTCCTTGTACGGACTCTGATGTTTTACTTGTATTTCTCAGTCGGATTATAAGATTTCTTCCGACTTTTATCCTTTTTCTGTTCTGTTTTCTTCCGGCCCTGCCGTTTTCTCAGGAAACAAGCGGAAAATGAAATAATTTTTCTTTTTTAAAAAATAATTGATGACGAATGGGTGAATGACGCGTGTACTCGCAGGGACGGAAAAGAAGAGCATAAACCCGGAACTATGGCAGGCGTGCGCCGGGCCGTTGGTAAACTTGCCGCCGGCTGGGACCCACGTCGTCTACTTCCCTCAAGGCCACAGCGAACAGGTTTTCTTTTTCTTTTTCTTTTTTTTTTTTCGGTGTTAAATTTGCTATTTTAATTGTATATATGTCTGCTTTAGTTTTGGAGCACTTTCTCTTTATCTATTTTGTTTTTTTAAAAGAAATTTATTTGCCCTCAATTAGTGAGAAAGGAAACCTTCGGGGTAAATTTAGATAATTGATTTTCTGTCTAATTTAACGGAAATGTTGGTTTTTTACGGTTGGGTGCAACTGTTAAGGGGAATTTAATGGATCTGATGAATAAAATTGATTGTTTTGTATCTTAATCATGGTATGCTTAGCTACATGTTTAGCCATAAAATAGTTACTATAAATGATCTTGCCTTGACCTTTCTTTCTTGTTCAATCTCTTTGCATAACTCGAACTGGGAAACTTTCCAATCTCAGGTAGCAGCATCTTTGAAGAAGGATGTGGATGCTCAAATTCCGAACTACCCGAATCTTCCCTCGAAGTTGCTGTGTCTCCTTCACAATGTCACTCTGCATGTACGGCTTTGCCTTTTTTGTATATTCTTGAACACTTAGCTTTTGATTTTAAATAATTTCTGAAATACCTCTATTTATGTTTTCTTGTTTTTGATTTCCATAGGCCGACCCAGAAACAGATGAAGTATATGCTCAGATGACACTCCAACCTGTTCCTAGTGTAAGGACTTTGCTTTAAGCAATTGTGCATTCCCTTATGGCTCATGTTAAGAATGTAGTTGTAGAGGAATGAAAAGTCTGAAACTGGAATTTTTGGTTTATAGGTCGATAAGGACGCATTACTGAGATCTGATCTTGCTCTCAAGTCAAATAAGCCTCAGCCAGAATTTTTCTGTAAAACTTTGACAGCAAGTGATACAAGTACTCATGGAGGTTTCTCAGTGCCCCGCCGTGCTGCGGAGAAGATTTTCCCATCTCTTGTAAGCAGTTTCTTGCCTGCTGGGCCATTCAGAGACTCAGAAAATTAATGCAAAAATTTTGACGTTTTCCATTTTTTGTACAAGGATTTCTCCATGCAACCACCTGCTCAAGAACTTGTTGCCAGGGATTTGCATGATAACGTATGGACTTTCCGCCATATATACCGTGGTATGGTCTCTTTTCTACCCATTTCTAGTGCCATGGTATGATTTGTGTTGTCCCATTTCTTAGAGCTCTTGTTTTCATTGTCTAGGACAACCAAAACGCCACTTGCTTACCACAGGATGGAGTCTGTTTGTCAGCGGAAAACGGCTTTTTGCCGGTGACTCTGTTTTGTTCATCAGGTAATAATCATGAACTCTGTTTTCTTTCTTGGACTTCGTACTTAATCAATCTTAGGACACATTCTTTTCGCGAGTTCAAGTTGAGAACTTGAGTTGAAAAGTGAATTTATGTGAGCGTAAACACTATAGCAAAAACGTTAAATTTGAATTTTTGTGAGAGAAAACACTATAGTAAAAAATTTGAGTTGTGATTCGAATTATGAAAAGAACACCCTCTTGGTTTCTTTGGACTGTAAAGCCTGTTTCCTTTGACCCTTCCTTCCTTTATATGTTTATGCTTTTCCAGTTTCTTATTTTGTTGATTTGTGCTTTTTCAAATTGGGCCTAATAATCTTCTTAATTCACTCTGTCGTCAGGGATGAAAAGCAACATCTTCTTTTGGGTATTAGAAGAGCAAACAGGCAACCCACCAACCTGTCTTCATCAGTATTGTCAAGTGATAGTATGCATATTGGAATACTAGCAGCTGCAGCTCATGCTGCTGCCAACAATAGCCCCTTCACAGTTTTCTACAATCCTAGGTGGGCAATTGGGGTCTTTTCGTTTCTCTAGAAATGCAATTTTCCATACATTTTTTCAACCAGTTCTAGAGCTCATAAAGTTGGATTTAGAATTATATTGAAAAGTGAAATGTGTTTTTTCATGTGCAGGGCTAGTCCATCAGAATTTGTTATTCCTTTGGCGAAGTACTACAAGGCAGTGTATGGCAATCAAATATCACTTGGCATGCGTTTTCGTATGATGTTTGAGACTGAAGAGTCCGGAACAAGAAGGTAGTCGTACTTGAGTCTCTCAGATAATTGCATGAAATAGGGAGACGAGACTGACAGGAATTTTGTATTCCTGGATTCGTGGTTTTTTCGGAATATAGATGGAGAGTTTGAAACATGACTAGTTCTGGAACTGAAAATGAGTGTATTCCTTCTGCAGGTATATGGGTACAATTACTGGTATTAGTGATCTTGATCCTGTTAGATGGAAGAATTCACAATGGCGCAACTTGCAGGTAAGCTCAAGGAATCTCCGTCTTTCTTTCCTCCCTTTGTTTGAATTGGGCCATAGTTTCCTGATCAGTATTTTCGGTTATTAAAGTAATTCTCTGCTCATATCCTTTGGCAGGTTGGTTGGGATGAGTCAACTGCCGGGGAAAGGCGTAATCGGGTCTCAATTTGGGAGATTGAACCTGTTACTGCTCCATTTTTCATATGTCCACCTCCATTCTTCAGATCAAAGCGTCCAAGGCAACCGGGAATGCCAGGTAGGATATTTACACTCTGAAGAATTATTGCTCTTCCATGGATAGGATACTTATGGCTACTCTTGGTATCTATTGCAGATGACGAATCCTCCGACTTGGATAACATGTTTAAAAGAACAATGCCTTGGCTTGGTGATGATATTTGCATGAAAGACACTCAGACATTTCCTGGCCTAAGCTTGGTTCAGTGGATGAACATGCAGCAGAACCCTGGGCTAGCCAACTCCATTCAGCCAAACTACATGCATTCCTTTTCGGGTTCAGTTCTTCAAAATCTTCCTGGAGCTGATCTTTCTCGGCAGTTGGGCTTGCCGACACCTCAAATACCTCAGGCTAACAACTTACAATTCGGTTCCCCGAGGCTACCTCAGCAAGCACTACCGCTTGATCAACTCCCAAAAATGTCGTCCTCGTTGAGCCCTCTAGGATCTATCATACAGCCACAACAACAGCTGAATGATATTGCTCAGCAACCGAGACAAAATATGGTTAATCAAACTCTACCGTTGAGTCAAGTTCAGGCGCAAATTTTGCAACCTCAGACTCTTGTTCAAACAAGTAATATACTTCAGCAGCAAGCGTCCATGCAAAGCAATCAGCTTCAGAGAAGCCTCTCTCAGAACCAGCAGCATCAGCAACAAATTACGAGCCAGAGCCAACAGCAAAACGTAATTCAATCCCAGATCCCCGATCAAATAAACCAACAGTTGCAACATATGTCTGATAATCAGCTTCAGCTTCAGTTGTTACAGAAGCTTCAGCAGCAACAGCAGTCATTTTTAGCTCAGCAGTCTTCACTGCAACAACCCACACAACTCACGCAAATCCAGGACCAGCAGAGACAACTGTTAGATGCATCCCAGAGCTTCTCTAGGTCTTCGACAACAAGTCAAATCCTGGAGATGCCGCAAATGGTCACGAACTCGCTCCCTCAGTCAAACACAATTGCACAACAAATGACAAAAAGCAACATCAGCCAAACTAATACTCTATTCCCTCATACCACTCATCAGTCAAAGCTTCAACAGCAGCAACCTGGAATGCTGTCCGAAATGCCTGGGCATATTGGACTTCCCCCGAACCCGATAACTAATCAAGTTGCTACTGGTGGTAGCAGTGCAGTGACGGGGGCTGTGGGAGCAGGACAGTCTGGTATAACTGATGATGTTCCTTCTTGTTCGACGTCACCATCTACAAACAATTGTTCAAATGTAGTGCAACCAGTTTTGAACAGCAGGGTTCATCGAAGTACAGTAATGCCACAAGACATGGCCCAGTCTGCTACCACTATTTTGAGTTCCAGTGCCCTGGAAACAATGTCATCTAGTGTTAGCTTGGTTAAAGATTTTTCACAGAAGTCTGAAGTTAAGCCTTCATTGAACATCCCTAGGAGTCAAAGTCAAGGTATCTTTACTCAACATACATATCTGAATGGTGGTGCTGCTGCCCAAACAGATTACTTGGACACATCTTCTTCAACAACTTCAGTGTGCCTTTCTCAGAACGATATGAATTTACAGCAGCAGAACAACAACGGCTTGCCTTTCAATCCGCAACAGATGCTGTTTAGAGAAGCTAGTCAAGGTGAGGAAGTTCAGGTGGATCAGAGAAACAATGTCTCTTACGGGAATAACATCAATGGACCGTTAGGCGGGGCACCTTTGAATCCTGATCCCATGATGACCAAGGGAATGGTGGGGTTAGGAAAAGACTTTGCGAACAATCTTTCTTCCGGAGGCATGCTTGGAAGCTATGAAAATTCCAAGGATGCTCAGCAGGAACTTTCTTCTTCAATGGTTTCGCAGTCATTTGGAGTTCCGGACATGACATTTAATTCAATTGACTCGACAATCAATGACAGCAGCTTCTTGAATAGAGGCCCGTGGGCACCAGCACCACAGTTTCAGCGCATGCGGACGTATACCAAGGTTTGATGTTTTTGATATTTCAACTAAAGAGGTTATCTTTATTTGTCCTTCCTAAACTTTGTCCTAACTTGGTTCATTTTTTGGAAAAAGGTTTACAAACGTGGAGCTGTTGGGCGATCCATTGATATCACTCGCTACTCCGGTTATGATGAGCTTAAACAAGATCTGGCTCGTAGATTTGGAATAGAAGGACAGCTAGAAGACCGACAGAGAGTAGGGTGGAAACTTGTATATGTGGATCACGAAAATGATGTTCTGCTGGTCGGAGATGACCCTTGGCAGTAAGTCTCTCTCTCGTTGTGTTTCATGCAGTTCAGTGGATTGCAAATATTTGCTAAAGTTGCAACGTTCTCAGTGTGCATGACATTCTTTAGTTTCCAACGGTCACTTACAATGTTTGTGTTCATGTTTACTTTTAGGGAGTTTGTGAACTGTGTCCGCTGCATCAAGATCCTCTCCCCACAAGAAGTCCAGCAGATGAGTCTGGATGGAGACTTCGGTGGCAACGGTCTTCCAAATCAAGCCTGCAGCAGTTCAGATGGTGGGAATGCATAATGTAGATATTAGCAAAAGTGTCATTCTTCCACTTCGGAGGCGTAAATCATTCCGGCGAATGTGCTGATACGTTTTAACATGGAATGATGCCACAGCCGGGTTTCCCAGTCACTACCTTGCAGGGGGAAACAAATTACGAAGTGAGCAAACCAACTGCTTAGGAAAAATACTCCAGCTCTGAGAAGATAGGCAGAGGTGATTCATAATTCATTGACGGGGGATTAGAGTGGAGGGCGGGTTGACCATGTAGTTATTGGTCATGAATTTTTAGATGCTGGGAATACTAATTCTAGTTGTTTCTTGTTTTTACTTTTTTGGTCTTTTGCCAGATTTGAAATACTACCACTTAAGTACATTGTAGAAAGAAAGTTGAAGCATATATAATTTCAAGGGCAAGTTGTTCTGAGTGTGTAAATTTGTAGATTTCTTGAATGAAATTGGCTCAAGTCAAAAAACTTACATGAGGCAATGTATGTTCAGATTTTGAATCATTGTGCCTTAGAATTTCCACGTGTATATAAGACTGACAATCAAAATTATTGCCCTCTTTGCAATATTGACTTTTTTTTATTTGTTTTTCTTTTTCGGGTTTTTTTTCCCTCTCTCATTTGCTTTGGACTTGTATTTCTTAGATAGATTTGGAGTTAGGTCAAGAAAAGCTTTAACGACTAGTATATAAAATAGTTACCAACAAAAAGTAAAAATGCTTGCAAAATCTTTGGCAATTGCAAAGTAAAAAGTCTAGGAATGCATGACTATTATTACCTGGTCAAAAGGGCGTCCATCCGTTCTTACAAAAATTACGTTTTTATTAACTTCTGACTTCTATTAGTTAAAAAAAAAAAAAAAGAGCTTCTTCACAATAATTGAAAGCTAGGAAAGTTGAAAAACTTTTATTTAGGTTGAAAAGTCAAAAAATAAGTGGGACAACTAAGGGGCATTCCGAGAATTGAACTCGGGACCTCTCGCACCCTAAGCGAGAATCATACCACTAGACCAAATGCCCTATGCTTGCTGTGAATCAAATATTGGCTTCTAATATAACAGAGTAAAATTATTCTATACTGGATCATGATGGCCTGTGCAGTGCAAAGTAAGATCCGGCCCATTAGCGGGTTAAAGAAGAGATAGAAGGAAGCGTCGTCGTCTTCGTTTTTCCGCCATTGGAAATGAATTTGGAGGTAAAACGTTCAACTAAAACAAAACCCTAACCATTTTCCTTTTATCTTACTACCATAGAAAGAAAATTAGAAATCTTCAAGCTTCAATCTTCCAATGGCGTTTTAGCATTCCTCTTATTTCGTTTACATTTGCTTGGTGCTTTCTTGTTCCTAAAAGGACAACAGTTTGTTCAATCTTCTCTCTAAAGCTGAATTCCAGAATCGAGGAAGCTAGCTTCAAACTTTTTCAGCCATGGTGGATTCCGAATCGCCGTCCCTCGGTAAGCGGAAAGAGCCCGAAGAGTCCGAAGCTCCTCCTCCTTCTCAAGACTCTGCAATGCGCAGCCACAATTCGACTCGCACGTGCGTCCACGAGGTCGCCGTCCCCACCGGCTATGTCTCCTCCAAGGACGAGGCTGTCCACGGAACCCTAGCCAACCCTGTCTTCAATGGGGAAATGGCCAAATCCTACAGCTTCTCCCTCGACCCCTTTCAGAAGGTCTCCGTCGCCTGCCTGGAGCGCAACGAGTCCGTTCTCGTCTCCGCCCACACCTCCGCCGGCAAAACTGCTGTCGCCGAGTACTCCATTGCCATGGCCTTCCGCGATCGCCAGAGAGTCATTTACACTTCCCCATTGAAGGCGTTGAGCAACCAGAAGTACAGAGAGCTCAGCGAGGAGTTTCAAGACGTCGGCTTGATGACCGGCGACGTCACGCTCAGCCCTAACGCCTCTTGCCTTGTCATGACCACCGAGATTCTCCGCGGAATGCTCTACAGAGGCTCCGAGGTTCTCAAGGAAGTCGCTTGGGTCATCTTCGATGAAATTCACTACATGAAGGCGAGACATTTTTTTTTTAATATTTCTATTCGTAGTTCCATAAAATAATTATGTTCCTTAATTTTCTGATTTTTATTTAAATTATATATCGCGATAACTTCAGTAATATCCGTAGAATTTTCAGAAATAAATTCAGTTTTCTATTCTAATTTATTAATATCGTTCATTTGGTATTTGATATTAATTGATAGATTTGTTATTATTTTCTTTTTGTGTGAATTTTATTTCTTTATTTTTCACTTATTGATAAATGGCCACTGCTGAATGTGAGAGTTGACTTTAAACGTTTGATAAGCGAACATCATCAAGGAAACAGATTAAAGGCCCGTTAATGCATTTGCAATTTTTTTTTTCCCCCTTTTCAAGTACAAAAAACACGTTCTTTGCATATATAATTTGTAGAATCTACGTTTGAATTTGCGATATTAGTATAAAAATGACGGTATTTTTATTCTTTGTATGATGAAGGATCGAGAAAGAGGAGTTGTTTGGGAGGAGAGCATCATATTCTTGCCACCGGCAATCAAGATGGTTTTCCTATCAGCAACAATGTCGAATGCCACCGAGTTCGCAGAGTGGATCTGCAACCTGCACAAGCAGCCGTGCCATGTTGTGTACACGGATTTCCGGCCAACCCCTTTGCAGCATTATGTGTTTCCTGTTGGTGGGAATGGGTTATACCTTGTTGTCGATGAGAACGAACAGTTTAGGGAGGATAATTTTGTGAAGTTGCAAGACACATTCTCAAAACAGAAGATTGGTGAATCCAACAACAGGAGTGCAAATGGCAGGGCAGGTGGGAGAATGGCAAGAGAAAGGGCGGCTTCTGGGGGTTCTGACATATTCAAAATAGTGAAGGTATATCTCTTTACTGCTCACTGATAGTAAAATGGATTCTACTTTATAAAATGTTCTTTAATTTTGGTCTTTTTCAAACATTAGATGATCATGGAAAGAAAGTTCCAGCCAGTTATTATTTTCAGCTTCAGTAGAAGAGAGTGTGAACAACATGCCATGTCCATGGCCAAGCTTGATTTCAACACCCAAGAGGAAAAGGATACAGTAGAACATGTTTTTCGTAATGCCATTCTCTGCTTGAATGAGGAAGACAGAGAATTACCTGCTATTGAGTTGATGCTGCCGCTACTTCAGCGAGGCATTGCTGTTCATCATTCTGGCCTTCTTCCTGTTATCAAGGAGTTGGTAGAGATTCTTTTCCAAGAAGGATTTGTGAAGGCACTTTTTGCCACAGAAACGGTAATACCATATATTGGCAGTAGTTTACTTTCCCTGCTTCTCTTCTACGCGTGTTTATTTTAGATGTGGCTTTTCAGTTTATATGTTACATCTTAAGATATTGGCTTTATGATAATTTTCTTTGTGCAGTTTGCTATGGGTTTGAATATGCCAGCGAAAACTGTTGTTTTCACAGCAGTTAAGAAGTGGGATGGGGATAGTCATCGTTTCATTGGGTCAGGTGAGTATATCCAGGTGAGTGAAGATTATTGTGCTTTTTTGCCTGCTAAGTGGGCTCGGGAGATGTCCATGCTTCCAAAAAAAAAAAAGAAAAAGATATATATCACTAAGCATTTCCTCAAGACATATATCTATTGGGTGCATATTCATCTTTGGCTAACAATGTATGCCTTTTTGCTTGCCATGATCTTTTGGAATCTGGTCTCTCTCTCTCTCTCTGTTTTTTTTATTTTATTTTATTTTATAAAAAGAAGGAACAAAAGGGAGAAAAAAAAAGGATCACTGTGCTTTCCTTGAAATGCATTTTAATTGGTCGCACATTAATGTTTTGCTAGAAGCATATTTATATATTGGAACTTTTGATCACTGTGCTTTCCTTGAAATGCATTTTAATTGGTATATTATTGTTTTCCTAGAAGCATATTTATATATTAGAACTGTTGATGATTATAGCCAATTTTTTGGTAGATGAGTGGAAGAGCTGGGCGTCGTGGCAAAGACGAGCGTGGTATTTGCATTATAATGGTCGATGAGCAGGTGACTGCTGCTAGTCATTCTCTGTTATGTGTCTAGTCATTTCTCTATAGATATTTGAAATCCAGAACTCTACTCTGCTGTTTTCGTCAAATATCAAAAATCCTTAAGGAATTCTTTTATCTTTTTTTTTTAATTTTGTTCTTTAGTAACATTGTTTTATTGGCTGTTTTCTTTTTTACTCTTACTTTGTAACTTTTACAGCCCTTATAAACAAAGGAATACAGGACTTTTGCGTAAAATATGCACGATATATTTCTTGCACTATTGAAGTCCTATGCTGATGTCTGAAAAAAAAGAGAAATCTACCAGGATCTTAGATCTGTCTCTTACTGTTTACAGATGGAGATGAATACTCTCAAGGACATGGTTTTGGGTAAACCAGCTCCTTTAGTGAGTACCTTTAGACTGAGTTACTACTCCATTTTGAATCTGATGAGCCGTGCTGAAGGCCAGTTTACTGCCGAGCATGTGATAAAGAATTCATTCCATCAGTTCCAGTATGAGAAGGTATTTGTGCTTCCTCATTTTGGTTGTATTGGCAAACGATGATCTGATGAATTATTTTGGATTTTCTACCATCGTTCAGGCTTTACCTGATATAGGCAAAAAGGTTTCAAAGCTTGAGGAGGAAGTTGCAATGCTCGATGCATCAGGAGAGGTAAATTCTTTCATTTTCGACAAGTCCATAAGTAGTTTTTAGTTGTCTATTTCTTTATGTGCTAGTGCTTTCTTTATTCCGTATTCGCCCACAGGCTGCTGTTGCTGAATATCATAAAATCAAACTTGATATAGCCCAACTTGAGAAAAAGATGATGTCAGAAATTATGAGGCCTGAAAGAGTTCTATACTTCCTTCAACCTGGTCGACTGGTATGTGCTGAGAATGAACGTACTGGTTTAATTTTGAATATGATCTTAGTTGTACATACTTTTAATACTATTTGGACTTGCCATTTGTTTTTTATCTTCACCTCATTCGATGGCTTCTGATTTGCCCAATCTTTTTTATGTTGTGTTTCTGCTAATCTGTCTCTGAGTGGAAATGCTGTTGACTCTATGTAACTACACTTTGTTGCATACTCGCAATGATTTGATTGATGAAATATTGATCATGTTCGATTTGTGGCCTTGACTTTAAGTTTCTTGAAAATTTCTTCTTTCTTCTCATATTTATTTCAGCGTAGTCTCTGGCTTATTCATAAGGCCCTCCTTTTTTTGTTGTTGTTGTTGTTGTTTCAGGTCAGAATTAGAGAAGGTGGAACAGACTGGGGTTGGGGAGTTGTAGTTAATGTTATTAAGAAGCCATCGACAGGGTTGGGTTCAATCTCTTCACGCGGGGGTATTTATATAGTGGATACCTTGCTACACTGTTCTCCTGGTTCAAGTGAGAATAGTTCGCGGCCAAAACCATGTCCACCTCGTCCTGGAGAGAAGGGTGAAATGCATGTGGTGAGTTTCACGACTCATTTTAGTTATTGGATCTAATCTTGGAGTTGCTGATGTCCATTTATATGTGATATAGGTCCCTGTGCAGTTACCACTAATTTCTGCTCTCGGCAGACTCAGGATATCTGTTCCTCCTGATCTGCGGCCATTGGAGGCACGGCAAAGCATTCTGCTTGCAGTACAGGAACTGGGAAATCGTTTTCCCCAAGGTCTTCCAAAGTTGAATCCAGTATCGGTAACTATGATCTGTATTTATAGCGACAGTTTTCTTATCTGAGCTTAAAAAATAGAAAGCTTGCATTTTTGTTATTTGTAATAACAAGCCTCTCATTTTAAATTATAATAAAGTCTGTTCTTAATTTTATCAAGGTTTATATTGTTTACAGGACATGGGCGTTGAAGATGCTGAAATCGTGGAATTGGTCAAGCAAATCGAGGAGCTTGAGAAACAGCTTTATTCTCATCCACTACATAAGGTTTGTTATGTTTAGAGGAGATTTATTTAAAGGGTCTTCCCAAAGGTGTTTACCTTACCATGATTCTTCGCTAACACTACTGCAGTCCCAAGATGTGAATCAAATTAAGTCCTTTCAGAGGAAAGCAGAGGTGAATCATGAAATTCAACTACTTAAGTCAAAGATGCGTGATTCTCAGGTATGCTTATCTTGGATGCTCTGCCTAAGGCTCTGAGCTGTATCGTTATTACAAGAACTTGAATTACAAAAGTTGGTGGGATAGTCAACATTGTTTGATATATTTCATAGCTTTTGGTGCTCTGGTTAGGTTGACTTTTGTTCAACTGCTTATATTCGGCTCTCTTGAAACCATTTATATTATGCTTTAACAACATGCTGGTACTGTTATTAATTCTTTGTGAAAAGTGGTTCCATACAAGCATTTCTATACTTGGGTATCGAGACTCCCATTCTACTGCTTCTAAAGAATGTTGTTTGATTCGACTCTTTTTCTTATTCTTTTTGTTTCCTCTTATCTGCAGCTTCGAAAGTTCCGAGATGAACTCAAGAACCGATCACGAGTCTTGAAAAAACTTGGTCATATTGACGCCAATGGTGTTGTACAGTTAAAGGGGAGGGCGGCCTGCTTGATTGACACAGGGGATGAACTCCTCGTTACCGAGCTGATGTTCAATGGTAATTCGCTAGTTTGTTTAATAGGCCGATTACATCTTTTATTTCTAGACTAGAGGTTGAGCTGGGCAAGGCTGGATTTTGCATTTACCGGCCAATATACTAGACATTGAAACATGTGGCATGGGCTTCTTTTGGAACTACTCACAACTATTTCAATGAATAAGCGCATAAGCTAGTCGAATCATAATTTTTGCACTGCTGCCCCTAGTTCAATATTTGGCTATGCTTGTTAATCAGGGACATTCAACGATCTTGATCATCACCAAATTGCGGCTCTTGCAAGTTGTTTTATTCCGGGAGATAAATCAACTGAGCAGATACAATTGAGGACAGAACTTGCCAGACCATTACAGCAACTTCAAGACAGTGCAAGAAGGATAGCAGAGGTAGCATACTATTTTCCGCACTTTGCTGTTTGGTTAGCCGTTTTGATGATGAATAGTTAACTATTAACTGCTGCCAACGGTGCAGATACAACATGAATGCAAACTAGAAATAAACGTGGACGAGTACGTGGAATCAACAGTTAGGCCATATTTGATGGATGTGATATATTGTTGGTCAAAGGTTAGTGCGTTCAACTTATTTCATGAATTGTTGCTTCTCTAAATTTTATGGTAACTTCGGCACCTTTGCGTTGGTAATGGGTTTGCTAAATGATTCTATTGATGTTGTAAGGTGAATGCCTGTTTTTTTAAAAGATCATGATTGTAAAATCCGATCTCTTGCTTTCACCAATCAAATAATGCAGGGTGCAAATTCTGTTTTGAGATGTTTAATGAACAGGCTTGTGGGATGGGAATTTGATTTGTTTAAAAATGTTTTGGGATGATGACCCTTTTTTAGATAGAATGGTGTTTGTACGTTATCACGGTGTAGGGTTAATTGATGGTTTTGATATTAACATGGCTGTGCTCAAACTAGTTCAACTTTTAGAAAATTCTGGAACCCTCTGAGTCAATTTATGGGTTAATGATTGCCTCTTGGTGCTAAGCATTTTAGCAGTTTTAGGCATCCTTCTCTTGGGTTACAAAAAGTAATCATATTTGCAAGATTTTATTTTGGTGGTTATTGTTTTATCTTTTTCTTTCTCCAGGGTGCAAATTTTGCTGATGTCATACAAATGACTGACATTTTTGAGGGTAGTATCATTCGAAGTGCTAGAAGGCTTGATGAGTTTTTAAACCAGGTACATACATTAAGCATTTAGCTATCATCCCCAGTTGGTTAACAACTAGAAATAACAGTTGGGAAATATTTATACATTAAGCACAATAGATGTTCTAGTAGAGCAAGATAATTTGATCATTATATTAATTCTTTTTTTATTGCTTTGCTTGTTCTCCAGTTGCGTGCCGCAGCTCAAGCGGTGGGAGAAGTCAATTTAGAGAACAAATTTGCCGCAGCAAGCGAAAGCCTCTGTCGGGGTATAATGTTTGCGAATTCCCTGTATCTGTAAACTTTTGACCCTAGTTTTCAACATTTCACTGACAGTAAATGCTGTGTGGTTTCTTAGTTTCGAATGGACCGATAGTATAGAGCTTCCTTTTGTTCCCCTTTGTTTTCATTTGCGTCATGCTCTCTTATAATCTCTCTTTCTCTGTATTGAATTATTATTAGACGTTGTATACGTCCTAACTTGGAAAACCAAGTAGGAAACATAAAGAAGTGTTCAAGGGTTCAACAAATTTTTGAGAAATTTCATGACGTGTTTGTGACACTTATTGTTGTATCTTTTTTTTTTGTTGGAGAAGAAAGAATAATTAAAAATACACAAACACAGAACAGAAGTTTGTAAGACGACAATGACAAGCAAAACAAAAGTATAAGATACTAAAATGAAGATTGAAGTTGAACCAATTCGCCTTGAGGATTGCTACTACGAAACTAAATAAGTCACGCCTTGATTGGATTGAACACAACCGTGGAGTGGTTTGCAATATGCAAGCTAAATTGCCCTCCTTTTTCGCTCACATCAATCTTCTCCACCCCCGAAGGAGCCTTCATCTCAAAGCTTGAAACTAGCTTTGCAATAACCAACCCTAGGATGGGCAGCGCGAGTATGATTCCAGGGCAGCTCCTCCTCCCCACTCCAAATGGTAAAAAGCGAAAATCAACTTTTCCCCCTGCAACGGCGTCCGTTCCCTGTTCCTCCTCCAAGAAACGGTCGGGTCTGAACTCATCGGAATTTTTCCACCATGCGGGATTGTTGGCTAGCCACCAGGCATTGACTACCACCTTGGATTCTCTTGGGATGGTATAACCTCCTAGCTTTGCTTCTTCAAGGTTCATGTGGGGTACCAGCAAGGGTATTGGAGTGTGTAACCTCAATGTCTCTTTGACCGTGGCTTGGAGATATGGTAATTCATGAAGGTTTGATTCGGTTACTGGATTTCCCTTGAGGACAGCTTTGATCTCGTCGCGGATTTTGCTTTGAACCATTGGATGGTTGACCAACTCAGCTATAGCCCACTCCATGGACCATAAGGTGGTCTCTATTGCTGCAACATTGATGTTCTCTACAATGTAGAGCACATTCTCTTCACTGATCTCTCCTTTCATCTGCGCATCTATTATGTGGTCAATGGCACAGCTTATCTTGTGCTTCTCTCCATTGGCAGCCATAATCTCCCTACAAAAAAACGAAATCCATACATAAGAATTTTAAACTAGAGTAATTATGCGATATAGCTAATTTTAACTGTCTTTTGTCGAAAGACCAAAAAATGAAATGAGAAAAACGCAATCATGTTAATTCGAACATGTTTTTTCTCTTATTTGTATTTTGTTACTTGAAAGCATATTGGAAAAACATAGAAGACAAGTAGTTAGAAAAAAAAGAAAAATTTGTGAGAAATACAAAGAAAAAAGAAGAGACTTCTATACCAAGATATGGGAGAAAAAACCAATAACATAAGAGACAAAAGGGTAGTATATCAATATGGGATCCATATATTTTTGTCAATTCGAAGAATAGGTTTGAATAGGAATCCGGTTATATCATTTTCCACGACACACACACACACACACACACACTCATATATGTGTGTATGTATATGCATATACATATATATAAATGTGTATGTGTGTGTGTATGTGAGTGCACATGTATGTAATCTCAACAAATATGTTAGTTTTTCTTACCTTCTTTTCTCAACAAAGTAGTTGTTGAAGAAAGCAAGACGCCTACGCTGCAAGTTTCTACACCTGTTCAAGTATCCCCTCAAGAATGGCCTCAGAAAAGGAATGAAATCTCCATAGTTGTACTCAAAACTCTGAGCCAGTCTGCTTCTCTCGGAGTTAAACCTAGTAGCCTCAACGAACAAAGGATCGTCTTGTGATTGAAACTTTGTGTCAAACATCATTCTGTACATGATGTTGTACAACATAAGCTGCAACCTTTTCCTTATAACTATACCTTCTTTTCTCACTCTCTCTTCCCTCTTAAGGTCATCAACGACCGACCCCATTTCCTCCTCCCACATGTCACTATATTGGTGGACAACTTTGTTTGTGAAGAAGGGAAGTGTCATGATCCGCCGCATTTTGCGCCAATGGTCACCGTAGACCGTGAAGACCATGTCTTGGCCGTTCCCGGTGAAGATGTCGAAGACAACGTTCCTAGGGCGGGACCCAAACTCCACGCCTTGCGTGTGTAGGACTTGGCTGGCTAGCTCGGGGTCAGAAACAACAGTTAAAGTTTTGGAGCCGAGTTTCAGGAGGAAGATGGAGCCATAGGTTTGGGATAGGGTTGCTAGGAACCGGTGGCTCAAGTCGTTGCCAACTTGGAGCCAGTTCCCGAGGATCGGAACTGGGCGTGGACCGGGAGGTAGGTGGGAGGGACGCTTGGAGATGGAGTGGAGGACATAGAAAGAATAGACCAAGGCATGTTTAACTTGGTGGATGACACAATAAGTATTAACGTGAAAAGAGTGCAAAGAAATGATTTTGTGAGAAGATGACCCATATTTTTGTTTATGGTTTACACAAAAGGTTGAGAGAGATGGAGGGGGATTGGGGGTGGGGGAGATTGTAAGGATGAGTTTGCAACTTGAAAAAGGAGGGAAATGGGGTGGGATTATATATAGAGATTAGAGTGGATATGGAGGTAAGTTTGTTATTATTATTATTATTATTATTGTTTATTTATTTTTTAAAATTTTTTTTTTGGGGGAGGTTGGTGTCAAATGGTTTTTAGAGAATCCAATGGGCTCTAGTAAAAGCAAGGTAGGAAGGAGGAGGACTTGACCTTTTAAATGAAGTCACGGAGGTTTTAGTTGGTGGGCAAATGGTAAAAATGCAAATACCATATTTTTGTGTCATTATTGGTCAAACTTCTCCACTAGCTACACCTTCCAATACAGCAGCCATACTAGAATTGTACCACCATCCCAGTGGCACTAGTTCTTTGCTTTTTTTTTTTTTTTTTTTTTTTTTTTCTTCTTACAAAATATGCCGTGTTAGAACAGTTCACACATTTGTCATGGAATACAATTAAGAAGGAAAATATTTGGTGGTAGCAATTTCTTCATAAGATAATAATTATTTTGGAAAACCTTTTGGGCTAATGAAACTATTAATTAATAACTGTTGACGGTCAAATTTCGTCAACAAAAACCGGCCGGGTTACCTTTTGGTTACCTTTTGGATTACCGGCCTGTGTGTAGTGAACGTATGAGGATTTATTGAATATGTGTATTTGTGTGTTAACTAAATCATACATAGACAAACAACACAAGAAATTTTATAGTGGTTCACTCTATAAAACGAGAGCTACATCCACTGTGATTTTGTATCTCTTCTGAGAAGATAACAATTTACAACAATTGCTCTCATTAAATCTCTTCTCTCTTTTCTGGAATCTCTCAACCCCTTCCTTACTGGGGGTCTTCCTTCTTTTATACTGGGCTTCCTTCGCTTAAGGGGTTTCCTTCATAGGTGGAAGCACTCAAGTGCTCTTCCTTGGTAGGCTCAGACGTAGCCCACTAATAAGCACTATTCACTCAGCCAATTAGTCTCCTATTACGGCTCTGTGCTCCTCCGTAATACTTTCCTGTCCGCTGTGGGGCGGTTTGAGAGCTTGCAATTAATGCCTGCAGACGTCTTCCACTTTTGCACGCAACCCGTCACGTCCTCTAAAGAACGTTCCCCTCGTCGTCAGCGCTGCCTAGCCCAATCGCCCTCTTTGGCGGTCCTTTCTGCGGTCGAGGGATCTTCGTGCCTTAATCTCGACGACACGATCTGTCGACGCCAGGAGGAATCGTCGCCCTAATTTGGACTTCGTGCTTTGGGCTTTCCAGCGGAATAGGAGGGAGCCGTAGACGTCGAGGGTTGTTGCTTGGCGGAGAGTAGTCAAGGGCACATGTCGCATTATCGTTCGTCCATGTGTCTGTCACATTTTCCCACACAACAGGTACCCCCAGGTCGAGGGCTCCTTTTATGCGGCCTCGAGCTTAGGTTCAGTTGTCCTTCCGTGCTTCGGGTGTGGGAAACCGGTCCGAGCCTTCATTTGCAATGATGGCCTGGGCGCTTCGAATTTCCTTCGGGAGACGTAACCGTCGCGTCGATTGATTCCTCATGATGATGTACGGTCTTATTTTGAAAGGACGAATATGGACCTTTGGATCGCAACCTCTCCGTTTCCCGCCCTATTTTATCACCGTCAGATCCGGACAGGATTCCCTTGCCGTTGGATTTTAAAATCTTCATCCAACGGTCAGGGTCGAGGATGTCCGTTCCTTTAAATACCCTCTACGAACTCGAGAGCCACTTTTTCAAAACTTCAAACTCTCTTCGCACCTGTTGGACTGCTGCCTTCTTCGCCGGAATCCTTCCTCTCCAACCTCCGGTTCGTGCTTCTTACTCTTCGAGGCGTATCGCGAAGCCGTTCTTACTTCAAGACTTTCCCGGGAATCCTCCTTCACCGGTAAGCCTTTCCACCCTCTGTTTGCTTTCTTTTTACTCACGGGCTCCTCCTTTCCTTTTTGTTTGAACCATGTGTATATATAAAAAATGCGCGGAATGTAGAAGTTAGGGAGACTTACTCCGTTTTGTTTTTCCGCATTGGATAGTTCTGTCCCCATCTCTTTGTTGTCTGTGCGCTTCTGGTTTCTGGGTTTTGAGGAACCTGGAATTCTATGAGCACTCGTCGTTACCATTCTCATATGAATGGTCGACGTCAAGTCGAGGCGTTTGAGTAGTCGTCGCTTAGAATAGCCATCCTTTCTTCCTCTCGACGTTAGGGTTTTAACTTAGCTTCTTGTCTTTTTAATCACCAGAACAATGGCCCAAAGTTCCCCTAGTCGAGAGGATTCTCCTGTCGTCCGTCCAGACCCCCCTTTCTGTGGTGGAGATCTCATGGTCTTCTTCGTCTTCCAGCGTCGACTCCGTGCTGAGGGACATTGAAGATGTCGAAGAAAGATATGAACCGGGCGACGACTTCAGAAGCGAATTCGGTAGCGTCGAACGGTTTTTGGACGAGATAGTTGAGCGGATCCCCTTCACGGGGGGCATAGTAGGCGGGGTGGCTGCCGCGATGGTAGATGCCCCCTGGCTGCCACGAGTGGTGGCCCGGATAGGCCTTTCTTTACAACCGATGTTATGCCGTCGAGGGTCCGGAACAAAGATATCATCTGGGCTGTGAAGGAAGGATGCATCGACGGGAGGTGGTTCGAATACCTTATCCCGGACATGCATTTTAGAACCAGCATGCCGCCGACCGGATACCTTCCGGTCTATACGAGAGCGGTTACGGCGGGGATGACCCTCCCAGTTCATCCCTTTGTAAAGGACTACTGCCATTTTTATGGCATTTCCCCCGCTCAACTAGCGTCGAACTTCTGGTACTGCTTTGCCGGTGCCTGGATTTTATGGCACCAGTAATTCGATATGGAACTCCCTTTGGATGAGTTCTGATTTATGTATAAGCTATGCCACGTCGCCAAGTGTGAGGGGTGGTATTTCTTGAGTGGTCACGGGAGGTCTCAGCCCAGATTTGGGAAGCTTATACTGGGTATTCCCTCGTCGTCACACGGGTGGAAGCCCATGTTCTTCATGATTCGGGGGCCTTTCAACTTTCATCCCAACGATCGCCTGCCCCGTCGAAGGCAGGTGCATGCAGCGTTTGGGAATATGGGTAAGCCTCTTGGCTTTCTTTTATTTGACTTTGCTTTTTGTTCATATGCTGATAATCTTTTATCCTCCAGTTAACGAGGACCGGCCGAAGTTTTCTGGCAACAGTTTGGTGAGGATCGAGAAGGCTTTCTCTTTTTCGTCAGAGGTTCGCCATATCGAAATGCTTTTGACCGAGGCCAACTTTCGCGCCGCCGGTTTAATCCTTAATCTCCCCAACCCTTCGGACCTAGGCGCCGTCCGCGCATACTTCCACCTAAGCGACGAGGGTAATTCCTGCTTTCGACGCCTTCCCTTATTATGGTTCTTATTTTTCAAACGCTGATCATATCTTCGTCTCGTCGTTTCCGCAGAGATGGCATCACTGAGAATTCAACTTCCTGGCAGCCAGCAATCTGGGTCGAGCCAGCAGCCACCGTCGGACCAACAGCCCCCGCCGAGCAAACTGCCCCCGTCGAAGGGAAAAGAGAAAGCTAGCTCTTCTTCCCACGTTCCGAGGAGCAAGAAGACCAAAGGCCCTTTGGGGTCGGAGACGGATCTTGTGCGGAAAAAGAGGCGGAAGGAAAAAACGCCGGTGGTAGAAACGTGGACGCCGACGGTCCCTATTCCTGACGTTGACATTCCGCTGGCGCCGAGAGAGCACGTACTTATTCTGGGGGCTAAAATCATGGATGCTAAGTTCTAAGTCCCGGACATATCTGATGCCGAGATTGAGGTGATACTGAAACTTCTCCCTCGTCTTTCAGGCTCTCTATGAGTCTTTTCTCGAGCCATACTGGGTTGCTGCCGCCCAATCTTCCTTGGTTGATCATCAACGAAAACAGATTTCCTTCCAAATCCACGTAAGATTTTGTTGAGGTTTTTTTTTTTACTCGTCGTTCTGCATTTCTGTTTTTCTGACCTTCAACTTTTCAGAGCCTGGTCCTTTCCATCCTTAACCTCCTTGACCTCATTAAGGTTGATGAGCGTGATAAGGCGATGGACGAAGTGGAAGCCAAGCTTAACTCCCTTGTTATCGACGCCAAAAAACAGTTAAATGATGCCGTCGAAAAGAGGGACGTGGCCTTGGCCAAGCTGGCGAGTTTGAAAGACGAACTAGCAAAGTTGAAGGCTGAGGTCGAGAGTCTCACGAAGCAGGCAGACCTGTCCGATAAAAAGTTATCTGAAGCAGCTGGGGAAGCGGAGAAGCGTTTTGCTGAGGGGAAGACTGAGGGGAAGAGGGAAACCGAGGCAGAAACTGCATTTGCTTTCGACGCCAGGCGCGCTGAGATTATTGAGGAGTTCAAGGTTTCCCAGGAGCTCACAGACATCCGTACCAAGTATTTTCAGTCTGCGGGTCAGCAAATTATCGATCTGATCAAGAAGGAGCGTCCTGAGTAGGATCTGAGCTTCCTTTATAACTCTCCTCCTCCTGCTAGTGATGACAATGTTTCCCCGCCTGGTAATGGTGATGAGTCGGTGGCTGGCGACGAGGCCTGAAATGGTCTTTTACCTCTCTTCTTTTTTGTATTTGTAACATAATATTGATTCGGACATCTTTTATTTTATCCATATATACATCTTTCCTTTCTTTTATAAAGATAACGGATTTTGTTCATACCTTGCTTTGCAATTTCTTAGAAAATTCTTTAGAATTTTTGCTAAGTGTCTGTCTTTTCTCCTTGGAGAATTTGACGCCGATTTCACCCCTTGGGGTCTTCCTCTTAGAAAATTTCTTAGAATTTTGCTAAGTGCTCGTCTTTCCTCCTTGGAGGATCTGAGGTCGATTGTACCCCATAGGGTCGTCGTCTTAGAAAATTTCTTGGAATTTTGCTAAGTCCTCGTCTTTCCTCCTTGGAGGATTTAACGTCGATTGTACCCCTTGGGGTCGTAATTCCTTAGAATTTTGCTAAGTCCTCGTCTTTCCTCCTTGGAGGATCTGACGTCGATTGCACCCTTTGGGGTCGTCGTGTCATTTTGTAGTGATCCGTGGACCTCTGTCCCTCCATGTCTGTTTAATATAACCTTAGTTTTTTAAGCAGACATGTTATTAAGGGGTGAATTCTTTTCTTTCTGCAAACATATCAATTTATTCAACTTGTAAAGAATGTACAATTGAGATATGTAAGAATTTCATACACTATTGGTAGTACAGCCTTAGCTGTTCTGCATTCCACGGGTGTTGAATCCTTTTGCCGTCGAGGCTCTCCAAAATGTAGGTGCCGGGGCATAGCACTTCCCTTATGCGGTAGGACCCTTCCCAAGTTGGGCCCAGTGGACCAGTAGTTTTGGGTTTCGTGCTCTGTGTTACCCTTTTTAATACTAGGTCTCCTGGGACGAACCTTCTCTGCCAAACTTTCTTATTGTAGTATCGCGCTGTTCTTTACTGATAGGCGGTGAGACGTAGTTAGGAGTTGAGCCTTTTTTCTTCCAACAAGTCGAGTTCCCCGTTCATGCCTTCCGCGTTGTCATCGTCGTTATGGACGACGGTTCTTAGAGTCGGCGTTTCGATTTCTACAGGGAGCACTGCCTCGACACCATACGCCATGGAGAAGGGTGTTTCACCCGTAGTAGTTCGGCTCGTCGTTCTGTATGCCCATAGGACCTTGGGAAGTTCCTCGGCCCATTTCCCTTTCAGATCGTCGAGTCTCTTTTTGAGGGTATACTTTAATATTTTATTGACCGCCTCGACTTGTCCATTTGATTGTGGATGGATCGGTGCCGATAAGTCTTTCCGGATGCCCAAGCTATCACAGAATCTGCGTGTTGAGGCATTGTCGAACTGCTTTCCGTTGTCGGATACTATCGAGTGGGGAACCCCGAACCTGCATACGATGTGATCCCATATGAATTTGGTGCAGGCTGCTTCCGTGGTTGTAGTTAGAGCCTTTGCTTCTGCCCACTTCGTGTAGTAGTCTACCGCAACGATTGCAAACTTAAATCCTCCGGGTGCAAGATGTAATGGCCCGATCAGGTCAACCCCCCATTTGGCGAAAGGGCCATAGACTGAGAATGGAAGTTAAATTTTCTGGGGGTGCTCTAGGAATTGTGGCATACCTTTGGCATTTATCGCAACGTCGGGCGTATTGAAAAGCGTCCTTTTTGAGCGTGGGCCAGTAGTATCCTTGCCTTAAATCCTTTAGAGCCAGAGACTGTCCCCCAGTATGGTTACCACAGACTCTTTCATGGATTTCTCGGAGGAACTTCTGGGCTTCGGCATCACCCAGACACCGCTGTAGAGGTGTTGAATAGCCTCGTCGGTAGAGCAAGCCATCGTACAATAAGTACCTAGCAGCTCTATACCTGATCCGTCTAGCTTCATCTTTATTATCTGGCAGTTGTGCGTCCATTAGGTATTGGATGAGCGGTGTCATCAAATTTCCATATGCTTGGACAATTAATACCTTAGCTTGTTCTTTAATGGTCGGCCGCTCCAATTCTTCGATGGGAACGACCCCCAGGGTGTCAGAATCTCTTGAAGATGCTAGTTTTGCCAGGGCGTCGGCGTTCGCGTTTTCGGCCCGTGGTATCTGAAGTATTTCGTAGTTTTTGAACTTAACGAGTTCTTCCTTTACATTTCTCAAGTACGCTCCCATCTTCTCACCGCGCACTTGGTATTCTTCCTTTACTTGCGCGACGACCAATTGAGAATCGCTAAAGATGCTGAGCCTTTCGATCTTTAGGTGGCTGGCTAACCGTAGTCTGGCAATTAGTGCTTCATATTCTGCCTCATTGTTCGACGCCTTGAATTTAAATCGAACCACCGAGGTAATCTTGTAGCCTTCGGGGCTGATTAACAAGACGCCGGCTCCTGACCCATTTTCGCTCGACGCCCCATCCACGTAGATCTTCCATTTTGTAACCTCAACTTCTCCAGATGCGGTGGGAGCTGGTCTGTGAGAGAACTCAGCCAGAAAATCGGCGAGCGCTTGGCCATTAATCGCAGTTCTTGGCACATATTTTATGTCGAACTGGCTTAATTCTACCGACCATTTGAGGAGTCGACCGGAAGTTTCAGGCTTTTGTAGAGCCTGTCTCAGCGTGTGATTTGTGAGAACCCGTATTGTGTGAGATTAGAAATAGTGCCGAAACTTCCTTGAAGCTATCATCAGGGCGAGGGCTAGGCGCTCCATTTCGCTGTATCTTGACTCGGCGTCGAGGAGCCTTTTGCTCACATAGTAGATCGGCAGTTGCACCCTCTCTTCTTCTCTTACTAATACGGAGCTTACGGCGTGTTGGGACACGGAGAGGTATAGGCTAAGCTCCTCGTCGACGTTTGGTTTTGACAAAATTAGGGGCTTGCCCAAATGCTCCTTCAATTTTTGGAAGGCCTCTTCACATTGTGGTGTCCACTCAAAGCGCTTGCTTCCTTTCAAAGTATCGAAGAAGGGGACGCATTTGTCGGTTGCTTTTGATATAAACCTGTTTAGGGCGGCGACACATCCTGTTAATCTTTGCACTTCCTTTGGCTTTGTTGGGGACCGCATATCCTGTAGGGCTTTGATTTTCTCGGGGTTAGCTTCAATCCCACGGTTGCTGACCATAAAACTGAGGAATTTCCCTTACCCAACTCCAAAGGCACATTTCTGGGGATTGAGTTTCATGTGGTATTTTCATAACACACCAAACATTTCCCTAGATGATTGACGTGATGGCTGGCCCTGGTGCTTTTTACAAGCATATCGTTGACGTAGACCTCCATCGTTTTACCGAGTTGTTGAGTGAACATTTTATTCACAAGCCTCTGGTAGGTAGCCCCTGCATTTTTCAGGCCGAAAGGCATCACCTTGTAGCAGTAGAGGCCCCTGTCGGTTATGAAAGATGTGTGCTCCTCGTCGGCTGGATGCATGGGGATCTGGTTGTATCCGGAGTAGGCGTCCATAAAGCTCAGCATCTCATGTCCCGCCGTGGCGTCGACCATTTGGTCTATTCGAGGGAGTGGAAAGCCATCCTTTGGGCATGCTTTGTTGAAATCGCTGAAGTCGACGCATGTCCTCCAGTTCCCGTTGGACTTGACCACTAGAACGGGGTTTGATACCCAACGTGGGTAATGGGCCTCCCTGATGAACCCATTATTGATCAGCTTGTCGACCTCTTCTTTCAGCGCTTCATACCTCTCGGGATTCATCGGTCGACGTTTTTGGCGCTTGGGCGGATATGAGGGGTCGACGTTTAGGGAGTGACATATTACCTTGGCGTCGATCCCTTCCATGTCGGAATGATTCCAGGCGAAGACATCTAAGTTCTTCCTGAGGAAGTTTTTGATCTCAACCTTAAGTGATGGGGCTAAGCCCGAGCCCATTTTTAGCACTTTGGTAGATTTGCCTTCATCAACTTAGATTTCCACCAACTGCTCGATGGGTTGAGACCATGTGACTTCCTCTTGGATCCTGGGGTGTATGTCCTCGATGAGGCTCTGGTGAACCATCACTGCCTCCTGTCTTCTTGGCTGGTCATATCCGCACAGGGCGTCAGAGTATGCAACCTAGCTTCATACTGGTTGCTCTTCATTTCGCCCACGCCATTTGGGGTAGGGAACTTGACCTTTTGGTGGTAAACGGAAGTTATGGCCCTTAGCGCCTGAAGGGTTGGTCTTCCAATCATGGCGTTGTATTGGGAGCCTCCTTATATAACCATAAAGTTGGCCATTGTGGTAGCCTGTCGGGGTTTTTCTCCGGCGGTTATAGGCAACCGGATGGTCCCCTGGGGGATGACGGAGTCCCCAGTGAAACCATATAGCGGCCTGGAGGTTTTTTCCAATTGTTTCTTTTGAATCCCCATTTTCTCCAAGTAGTCGGAGTATAGGAGGTCCACCGAGCTCCCATTGTCTACCAGGATTCTGCACACGGTGTGATTTCCTATCATGGCTTCCATCACCAAGGCGTCGTTGTGGGGAAAATGAACCCCACTGGCGTCATCCTCGTTAAAGGCCACGTCGGTGTGACTGTACCTTGGGGTTTTTACGGCGGAGACGCTCTAGAATCGCTCCTGATAAACCCCCTGGCCTCGTGGGCGTAGTCCTTCTGAGACATCCTTGAGTCTCCTCCTATATAAGGACCGCCGAGGACAGTCCGTATGACGCCGATGGGTTCGCGATCCTCTAGGCGCTGGTTCTCCTCTCGGCGTCGATCGTCATTTTGCCCACCATGGCCGTCATTTTGAGGTCTCCGTTCGGCCCTGAACTCCTGTAACCTTCCCTCGCGGATTACTCTTTCGATTTCATCCTTGAGGTCGGCACAATCGTTGGTGTAGTGGCCGACATCGCCGTGGAACCTATAGAATTTCTGCTGGTTCCTTTGGCTGGGATCTGACTTCATCGGTTCCGGTCGGCGCAGCAAGTTTCCGCGGCCGACCTGATTGAAGACCTCATCGACTTCTACCGTTAGCTCGTGGTAGGAATTGTATTTTTGGAACAGTCGAGGCTTACGGGTATCCTCTTGCCTCGACTTCTGGAGCGCTCGTCATTGCGGCGGGCTGCTTGTCTCCGTTTCCTCCACCTCGACGCTTTTTCCCATCCTGTTTCACAGACGTCGACCCTTGTTCGGTTCCTTTATTCTTGTTGGACCTGTGCTCGGGGTCGTTTGCGTCCGCCTCTTCGGCGTTGATGTACCCCTGCGCTCGTGCCAAAAACTCCCTGTAGCTGGACGGAGATTTCCGGTTCAGCTCTCTTTTGAATGGGGTAATTTTCTTCATGCTAGATAAGGCCCCCATCAATGCCTCTCTATCTGTTATATCCATCGTGCCGGTAACACATTCCCTTAGTGACTCGTTCGGCTTTTGGTATATCGTCGTCAGATTCTGATTCGGGGGGATGTACTTTTTAACCCCCATGAACTGGAGAGAAAATGCTTCCTTCAACTCATCCCAGCTCGAGATAGAATTTGGCCTCAGCGTTCGGAACCATCTTCGGGCTGAGTCCGTCAAATGGTTCTGAAAGGCTCGGCACATGATCTCCTCGGCGTACCCGTGCAAGAGCATGTGCCTTGTGTACATCTCTAAATGGTCGTCGGGATCCGCTCGACCGTCATATGGTGGAATCGACGGCGACCTATATTTGTCAAGGAGAGGGGGTGCCATTATTTCTTCGGTAAATGGATGGTCATGTGTGTGGCTGGGCATGATATCGACGTTTACCACCTCAGCCACATGACCTATATTCTTTTTTAGGCCTGCCACTTCCCCTGTCAGTTTTTGCTCCAGGCTGGCCATACGTTCCATGATGGCGCGTGCTTCTTCTGTTGAAATGGCCGAGCCTGCTACTCTCGATGCCTCTGCCCTTTGAGCGTTGGGTCCGCCTCGGGCCTGACCGCCTGCCTGTACTGATCCTGAGTCTCCCGGCGGGTTTCCACCTGGATTCTGGGATAATACCTCGGGGTTTCCTAGACCTTCCTCGGGAGCTCAGAGTCTAGCGGCCCCCAAACGGCTGCCAGAGGATTGGGAAGGCCGAGGCCTAGGAGGGCCCCGGTGATTCTCACCATCTCCGGTTCCCTCTTGGATATGTGGGTGGTCACCGTCGTTTGAATTTTCTGCCATGGCAGGTCCCTGCGGCCTTGGGGCGTCTTCTAATGGTGGCATAGAGTTCCTTCCATCTAAGCGTTCAACCACGGTCATCAGCCCACGTACCAGCTCAGTGAGAGTGGTCAATTGGGCTTGCATCTGCGCAGGATCCGGCCGTGGCGCGCCCAGGGGCGGGGCTTCATCTCTGATCGGGCGTAGATCTCCTTCCATCCCGTCCGTCTATCTAGGAGGCGTGTTTGCTAACTATGTTGTTAGGGGTCGAACGCTTTCGGTCCCCAGTGGAGTCACCCATTGTTGACGGTCAAATTTCACCAACAAAAACCGGCCGGGTTACCTCTTGGTTTCCCTTTGGATTACCGGCCTGTGTGTAGTGAACGTATGAGGATTTGTTGAATATGTGTGTTTGTGTGTTAACTAAATCATACATAGACAAACAACACAAAGAATTTTATAGTGGTTCACTCTATAAAACGAGAGCTACATCCACTGTGATTTTGTATTTCTTTTGAGAAGATAACAATTTACAACAATTGCTCTCATTAAATCTCTTTTCTCTTTTCTGGAATCTCTCAACCCCTTCCTTATTGGGGGTTTTCCTCCTTTTATACTGGGCTTCCTTCACTTAGGGGGTTTCCTTCATAGGTGGAAGCACTCAAGTGCTCTTCCTTGGTAGGCCTAGACGTAGCCCACTAATCAGCACTGTTCACTCATCCAATTAGTCTCCTATTACGGCTCTGTGCTCATCCGTAATACTTTCCTGTCCCCTGTGGGGCGGTTTGAGAGCTTGTGTGACGACCCTCCTATGAGGCCGCCACTGTAACTTAAACTTTAACTTGTACTTACTGGGGTTTCTTAAAATTTGCGGAACATTTTTTTTTTTTTAATATAAGAAAGAATACTTTCATAATTTGTAACAATAATTTCAAATAAGTGAATCACTAAATTTCTTAAAGCTTTTCTTAATTTCAGTTAAGATAAAACGTTCTAAAAATATCTTTCAAACAGAGCAGCATTTGAACTCCTATTTCAAATACTCTTTAAAAGCCTTTCTAAAACTAGCCAATTCAATCAGGCCATTTAATTTTGACTTTAAAACGGATTTCGTGAGAAATCTTAAATTCAAGTACATCTTAAAGCCCTTTTAAAATCAATCGTTTAAATCGTCATGTTTAAAATTTGTTTATTTGTTGCATGCTCTGTTGCAACGTTCTAAAACTTAAATACTCAAAACGAGGGTTGTTAGCTACAACCTCGGTTTCTTTAACATACATATGTACCTATACTTTTTAAACATACATGCTTGAAACCTTTAAATCATATATACATATACATGATTTTTCTTAAACTT